GGCCTGACAGAAGCCTGTAAATAAATTCTGCCTCGCTCCAGGCTCGGGGCTGAGCGGTCCTGGAGGGCAGCTCAAGTAGCCACTTGCAGATGGTCTGTCCTGCGGATGCCGGCTCGTTCGGAGCCCTGACACACGCTGTGTCACTATTCCTGACACGGTGCAGGGAAGGAAGCACCCTCCGGAACTCTCCAAGGCACAGTCCCACCACATCCATCTGCCCCACGGACCACGGAATCCATTTGCAGATGGGGAAAATGCACACCTGATGCAGGTGGGCTCGGGGCTGGCTCAGGCTCAGGACGGAGGGTGCATTTTCCTCGTGTCACCCGTCCTAGCCTCCCATGGTCCTTGCTGAGATAACCTTTGTTCCATAGCAGCTTTGCAATGTGTACAGGCATAGGCAGTTGTTTGGTTTGGCCTGTTTTGAGGGTCACATGAACTGGATCCTACACTCTGTCTGTGCACCAGTGTCTTCTAGCGTGCTCTGCGGTTCATCCACGGGGATGGTGGTCCAGGCAGGACACACAGGGCTCTGCCCACTCTGTTGTGGGTGGTGACTGCTGTGTTCTGCTGGTGTCTGGGATCAAGATGGTGGTGAGAGCACTGCCCCAGGCATCCTGAGCTGTAGGAGAGTTTGTCACAACAGACGAAGGGTGGAAACAGCCATCAGGTGAAAGTAGCGCACACATGCTCAGCTTCACCACGGAGGGCAACCCCTGCCCCAGCACAGGCTGGTGCTGCCCCCACGCTCCACACTGGGTTAATACTTGGCATTGTCCTCATCTTTAAAATGAGGACTAGGGCAGCATCTACTTCACATATGAGGATTAAATGCAAGGGCTGGAAGTGGGGCCTGACACTTAGTACTCAATCATAACGCTTGTTACTTTCATTTGTAAGTATTAGGGTTGTGTGTAAGGTTTTGAAACTAGGGACATTTACTACATATAGCCTCTTATGTACAAAACCCTATGGCTTAAGAAAATCCTCAATATGATGACTTTAGAACTTTGTTCTCTCAATAGTAAAATTATTCTACTAAATCTTTTCCTTTATTTATTTGACTGATGGGATGAGAGATGGCTACACAGACAGAATCATTTGTTCCTTTACTGATTCAACTAACAGCGGCTCTATTCTTACATGTGCTGGACACTGCTGGGTGCCAAGATTCCAAGGTGGACGTGATGCAGCCCCTCTCTTCCCCACGCAAGCCCAGTAATCGCAGCAGAACCTCAGGGCCGGGTGCAGCTGTCAATACCACCCTCAGGGGCTGCTATCGACTCGACACGGCCTTCGTGTGGTCCTGTCTTTCTGTACTGCAGAAAGCTCACTCCTTTTTTAATGCCACATACATCCGTGCCACTGAGCTGCCTGACTCTTGAGAAATCACTTCAGAATGTTCTCTCAAACTCAGATTATCAGAACATCCATAAAAGAGACATATTTTCCATTCTTCTTAATACTAATGGCTAATTTTTATAGGTCTACAGACTCAATCTCATTTAAACTCAGCTGGTTTTCTTTAAGGATGTAGGTTTGTGCCTTTGTTACTTTGCCTTTAAGATAATTAATAAAATGAACGTGGAGGGGTCGAGAAGAGGCTTTCAGAATGCCACAGCCTTGCAGCACGGTAACTGGAGTTGACGCCTGAGGTCTGCATTAATGGTGGTGGATGGTAACAGGGTTGAACCTTCTCTAGACAGAAAGGCTGACAAGGGGGAGCGCTGTCTGTCCCTCCCACCCTCTGGGGCAGGGAAGGCTCAGAGCTGAGCAGCAGTAGAAGTGGGTGAAGCACACAGGAATGAATGACCCTAAGTTTGCTGTGTGGGCCACTGAGACCACCAAAAGTGGCTGAGGAAATAGTTCAGAGTGACCTTTCTGGCCACAGGCACGGGGAGCAGCAGGAGAACAAAGGATAGGAGGCTGTGGTGCTGTAAGGCTGGCCTCCTGGGGCTGCCAACTAGTGAGAGGCCAGGAGGAAGACAAAGGAAAGCAGCAGAAGGCCAGTGTGAGCTGAGCTGTACAGGAGAGGCTACAGACAGACGGGGGGGGGGGG